CATCAGTATGATGTTTGCTTCATAAAATGGGTTGGGGGATAATTCCATCATACACGATTGCTTGAAATACTTTCAATAAGATCAGTACCAACTCCTCCTTGTATGTCTTGTAGAATTCAACTGGGAAGCTATTTGGTCCAGGGCTTGTTTTGGTGGGGAGATTTCCAATGACTGTTTCACTTTCCTGAATTGTTACTGGTCTGTTTAGAGTTCCAATTTATTCTTGTTTCAATGTTGGGAGGTTGTGTGGTGTCAGGAAATCCTCCATTTCCTTTAGGTTTTCTAGTTTATTTGCATACAGTTTTTCATAGTAATCTCTGATAATCTTTTGAATTTCTTCAGGGTCAGTTGTAACTTTGCCTTTTGTGTTTCTAATTATGTTTATTTGGACTTTCTCTTTTTATTAGTCAATCTGTCCAGTGGTCTGTCTAACATATAGCCTTTCAAAGAACCAGCTTTTTGTCTTTTGATCCTTTCTATGATATTTTTGTCTTCCATATCCAGCAATTATGATTTTGTCTTGGTGATCTGAATTTTTCTGCTGAAGTTAGGATTTAGATGATCCTGCCTTTCCAGCTTCCTTAGTTGTGACTTTAGGCTGTCACTGTCATCTTTGTGTTTCCTTGATATGTGTGTGAATTCCATGAATTTTCATCTTAATACTGTTTTCAAGGCATCGCAGAGATCCTGATTTGCCTTTGTTTTCATTTGTTTCCAGGAATCTTTTGCTTTCTGTCTTAATCTTCGTGTTGACCACAAGACGTTCAACAGCATGTTGTTTAGTGTCTATGTCTTTGTGTGTTTTGAGGAGATCTTGTTGGTGGTGATCTGAGATGATCATGGTATTATTTTGATCTTTAGAAATTTGTTCATGCTTGATTTATGTCCAAGAATGTGATCAATCTTGGAGTATGTTCCATGTGCTAATGAGTACAATATATACTCTGTAAATGTTGAATTAATGTTCCAGATCTCCTTGTTGGTTTTTGCCTTGATGATCTGTTTAGAGTTGACAGTGGGGGTATTTAGGTCTTGATTGTGTGAGACTCAGTATCCTCTCTTAGTTTACTTAGTAGTTGTTTTATAAAACTTGGTGATCCTGTGTTGGGTGCATATATGTTTAAGATGGATATTTTTTACTGGTGGATTGAGCCTTTTATCATTATGTAGTATCCTTTTAACCTTTTGATGACTTGAAGTCTGCTTTGATATCATGGTAGCTACACTCTGCTCTCTTCTGTTTCCATTTGCCTGAAAGACCATTTTCCAGTCCCCGTCTTTGAGCCTCTGGGTGTCCTTTGCAGTGAGATAAGTTTCCTGGAGAAGACTGTTGGATCATGCTTCTTTATCCAGTTTGCCACTCTGTCTCTTCAGTGGTGCATTTAGCCATTTCACTTTCAAATTGATTATTGAAATGTGATAGTTTATTCCTGTCATAGGGCTCTTGGGGGTTGCTTTGTTTCCTTTTTACTTTTGTATTTATGTGTGTGTGTGTTCATTTTTGTGAGTACTCTGTATGTTCTGTTAACTCTGTGCTTGCCTGTACTTTTGTGATGGATAATGAATTCCCCCACCCCCCCCCCCATTTTCAACACCTTAAGTGTCTCCTGAAGGGCTGGTCTGGAGGTAGCATATCCTCTTGGGTTTGATGTTGGGAAGGATTTTAATTCTCAGTGACTGCTGAAACTTAGCCTGATGGGGCAGGAAATTCTTGGCCAGGATTGCTTATCTTTAAAAATTGGACTCTGGTCCCTCTGGCTTGTAATGTTTCTGCAGATAAGTCTGGAATGATTCTGATGGGTCTTCTCTAGTAGGTAGTCTGGCCTTTCTCTCTTGCTGCCTTTAAGATTTTTTTCTTTCATGCTTACTTTGTGGAGGCAGATTACTGTGTGTCTTGGGGGTGGTCTTCTCATGTAATACCTTGCTGCGGTTCTCTGAATCTCTTGCAGTTGAATGGATGCTTCTCTAGTGAGATGTGGGAAGTTTTCTTGGATGACCTCATGGAATGTTTGTTCTGTGGTGGTCTCATTTTCCCTTTTATCTTCAGGAATACCGATTGGGCATAGATTTGGCTTCTTGACATAGTCCCACATCTCAGAGGCTTTGCTTTTTTTTTTTGAGTATTTTTTTCCCTATGGTTTTGACAAACTGGGTTAATTCCATATTTTGGTCTTCAGGCTCTTAGATTCTTTCCTCTACTTTGTTGATCTTGCTTCCTATGCTTGTTACTGTGTTATTGATTTCCAGGATGGAGTTCTTCATTTCTATTTTTTCAGAATATTCTTTTCTGAAATTGTTCAGCTCTGCTTATACTTCCTGTACAACTTTGGTCAGTTTTGCTTCTCGTTTCTCTTGATTCACTCTGTTCATTTTGGCCATCCAATCTCTGATATCTGTGACTGTCATCCAGGGCAGGTCGTTGGAGCGGGGGTTCCGTTTATATTCTGACAGCTGTTTTTCAGGTGTTATCTCTTTAGTACTCTGAGGGTTGCCTGTGTTTTTTTGTTGTTGATTTTAAAATTTGTGACAGGCCTCTCTTCCCTCTCTGTAATTCCTTTTGGTTTTGCTCTGAAGCTGGTACTTACCCTCTCTTCTAGGTCCCTCTCTGGGTTCAATATAGGTCACTCTGTGAGAGAAGGAGGGGCATTCACTTTTGCTTCCTGCAAAAGTGGTAGGTTTCTCAGTTGTAGCAGCCCTTGCTGCTATCACTCTGTAGAGAGTGGGTGGGGGATACCCCCCCATCAGCTGTCTGGAGTTTGTAGCCCAGAAGCCTTCCCACCGATGATGCCTATGGGGTGTCTTTCATGTCACTCCCTTCCCATTCAAGTCCACCCTCGGGGCTTGGAGGTGTTTCTTTCTGATTCTTCGTGATCTGGCTGGAAAGATGGGCTGGGTGCCAGTGAGGTTCACTCTGCAGACAGGTTTTCTACTGGCAAAAGCCATGCTTATGGCTGCTGCCCCGGTGTGGGCTTTTTGTTTTTGTTCTGCTTGGGGTCTGGATGCCCACTGCTGTGCCCCAGCCAGGATTCCTCCCACATGATACTGCTGACTTGTGCCCGGCTGAGTGGGAGCAAACAGACCCAGAGGGTCTTAGGTATACTCACCCACTCGTTCACTGGGCAGACCTAAGTTCCTGTGTGGCCTGGCACATGGTCGGGGATTGTGTGCCCAGATTCCTGCATCTTCCATTGTTTTCCAAGTGTTCAGAGTGTCCTTACCTATCCGTGGCTTGTTCCCTACTCTGCCTCATCCTGTGAGAGCAGTGCCAATCCACTGCTCCCTGGTGGCCATCTTTGAAAGTAATCTCATAAGTACTTCAAAACTGACTTTAAGGAGATAGTGTATCACTAGTTTTTATGCTCAAAATATAACCAAACACATTGAAAGAAATGCTCATGTTTCCAATGAGTTTATTGGATTTGCATTTTTGAGTTTTTGGATGACCTTGTCCCCTGTGATGTTTTTATTAACTCTTAATTGGAAAGTCCTTTATAGCTTGACAGCATTTTGAAAAGCAATTAGGTACATAGCCTTTACAAGTTTCAATTTGTTTCTTTCTTTTTTGGGTCGGTGTTGGTGTCTCACTGTGGCCCAGGTTGGAGTACAGTGACACAGTCATAGCTTGTTGCAGCCTTGACTTCCTTGGCTCAAGCAGTCCTGTTGTCTCAGCCTCCCAGGTAGCACCACTGCTCCTAGCTAATCTTTTTTTTTAGAGACAAGGTCTCACTATGTTGCCTAGGCTGGTCTCTGAACTGGGCTCAAAGAACCCCTCTGCTGAAGTGGTGGGATTACAGGTGTAAGCCACCATACCCAGTCACAGGTTTTTTGTTTTTGTTTTTTTAATTGTAAGCATCATTCATATTTCATCTTAGGATTTATTAGTTGTTTGAAAAGACCTGGGTTTCCTGGTCATTCTAAGTAACTTTGCAGATTGCTGGAAGTTTTACTGCTTCACATTCTGGCTTAAACTTCACGAGCGCCACAGTGAGAGTATGATAACCCTGCAGACAAGACTGACCACTCTCCTCTCACTCTCCAGTACATGTCCCTGCTTTCCGTCTTGTCCTCAGATAAGCCAGCCTCTGCACTCTGGGCCTCTGCTTTTGCTTGGATTTCCTCTCTGAGATGTTCTGTCCACAGTCTTTACCTAGTTGCCTGGTCTTTCAGGTCGCTCCTATTCAGATATGGTTCTCCCCATCATCCAACCTGAGGTGTTCTTCCTGACTGTCTTATTGTTCTGGACCCTGCTTGCTTTTATTTTGCTTGGTATTTGTCACTGAGTTACCATGCTCATTTGTTTGCTTATTTGTCCGCCCCCGTACCTCAGCACACTAAGTGCATGCTTACAGTTAGAATTATAGTAGCTGACACCGGTTGGCTTCTAAAACTCTCTTGCCATGGCATAAATGTACAGAAGGCATGACAGACCTTTCACCCGAGACAGCTGAGAATCCCTGCATACAACAGCTGTGTGGTGAGCGTCATCAGCCTTGAGTCAGCATTGGGATAGTTGACTCGCCTGTGTACTTGCTGTCGATTGGGAACTGTGAAAATATGCCATGGACTGATGTTGTCAAGAATACTTTCCTGGAATAATACATCTTAGGGCCAATGTGTTTTAGAAAAATTAATGTTCGGAATCCATCTAGAATATTTGCGAATGGAACATTATGGTAGATTCATTTATTTTGGACTCTGATTACTTCTGTTCTTTAAATTCTCAATTATCTTGGTCCTTTGAGGTAACAGCCAAATGCCAGATTTTAAAAGTGACTTTAGTTTCAAGAACAATGGTAGGTACTGAACTAGAAAATAGAAGACGTGAAAATTCCTGCTCTTTAATATGTTGTGTTTTTTAAATCCATTTCTTTAGGTCATTTTACATTTCCCCCTCCCTTCCTTCACGCTTTCCTTTAGGAAAAGCTTTGTCTTGTGGAGTGAAAGTGAAAACCATGTCTCTTTCTCATGGGTGCATGCTCTTTCCCATTTATTTTCTGTAGCTCCTGAGTATTGGTGTTCCATTGCTTATTTTGAAATGGATGTTCAGGTAGGAGAGACATTTAAGGTTCCTTCAAGCTGCCCTATTGTTACTGTTGATGGATACGTGGACCCTTCTGGAGGAGATCGCTTTTGCTTGGGTCAACTCTCCAATGTCCACAGGACAGAAGCCATTGAGAGAGCAAGGTATTGATTGTATAATCAGTTATTTTTAAAATTGAGCATAGTGCATTGTCTTTTATTCAAGGTCATATTTTTCCATGCGCATTGAGTTCTCAAATATAGAAAAATGAATAAAGGTCATCTTAAAAATTCATAATTTGTAAGCATTCCATTTTAATTTTAGACATTTGTTTAATACATAATGATAAAAAGATAACTTTTTTTTTTTTTAAGTTAGTGAGTTTTCTAATGCTTTGAATAGTAATTTGACTTTTTGGGATCCACTTTGAAAATTTTTATTTTTGTCTGATCATATATTATGTATACAAATCTACTGAAAAGAATTTTATAAAACAAGAACATGTTTCTGAAAGTGTTATTTATAAAGTTTAAAAACTGATAAGAGGGAAGTGGTTAAGTAAATTATAAGAAACTTTCAGCCGGACTTGGTGGCTCAGCCTGTAATCCCGCGCCTTTGGGAGGCTGAGGTGAGTGGATTGCCTGAGCCTGGGGGTTCGAGACCCGCCTGGGCAACTTGGCGAGACCTCATCTCTACAATAAATCAAAAAATCAGCCGGGCATGGTAGCGCGCACCTGTAGCTCCAGCTACTTGGAAGGCTGAGGTGGAAGGATCGCCGGAGCCCAGCAGGTCGAGGCTGTGTTGGCCGGGAGTGGCCTCTGCATTCCAGTCTGGGTGGCAGAGTGAGACTCCAACTCAAAAAAAAAAGAAACTTTCATTTTGTATGTAGCCATTAAAATGTTAAAAAGTTTGTATAATTAAATGCTTAAGATGAAATATTACAGGAAAGTGCCATTTTAGGTGCTGTGAGATCTCAACTTTTTAAGGATATATGTGCATAAGTGCATAATCTTGGTTCTACCAGTTTTGCTGTATGACTTTGAGAAAGTACTTTCTAAGCTACTGATGGCTAATCGAATCTTTTGTGATAAAGGAAATGATTATTTGTGCTAATTCAGTAATCACTAGTCACATGTAGCTATTGAACACTTAAAATATGGCTGATGTGATTGAATAATTGAATTTTTAATTTAGTTCGAATTAAATAGCCTCATGTTGCTAGTGTCTATCTATTTGGACAATGTAGCTATAAACTAGTTTCCTTATCTAAAAAATGGGAATAATAGTATATTACTTCATTGAGTTGTAAGGATTAAATGAGAATTCACATAGGAAGCACTATATATATGCTCATTGTTATTGTATTTGAATAAGAAAAAAAAAAAGAAGGAAATATGCCAAGATGTTAATAGTGGCTACCTTTTGGTTGTGGTTTTATACAAAGTTCGTTCTTTTTCATTTTTCAGTATTGAGTTTGCTATATGATCTGAGCTAAAAAGCCATTTTAAAGCATTTGTCGGGGTGAAATGTAATTCCTTTTTCCCCTAAGGTTGCACATAGGCAAAGGTGTGCAGTTGGAATGCAAAGGTGAAGGTGACGTTGGGTCAGGTGCCTTAGTGACCACGCAGTCTTTGTACAGAGTTACTACCTAGACAGAGAAGCCGGGCGGGCACCTGGAGATGCTGTTCATAAGATCTACCCAAGTGCATACATAAAGGTTAGTTGCAATTTTATCTGACTATTTCAGACATAGAAAGTTCTGTTTGTTGTTTAAAGAACTTAAATGGAGGTGGCAGGAATAGAAAAATGTTTTTTGTGTTAAATAATCAGAAACTATGCTTTGAGAATTTCCTGGGGTATTTATTGGCATGACCAGTTATCTAGTTTTGTGATTGCATTCATGCCCTAGTGTTTTATTAGCAGATTTGTTAACTGTTTAAGAGTACTTGAAAATATTGAGTGAAACCGCCAAACTTGTCTTTCTTTGACATGAGATTCATAAAAATCAGACACTGGAATTTCATCTTAGCCAGTCTTCAGAATTTTAATGGAGATAATTCTAAAATTAATAGCTTTTCAAATTAAGAACCTGAGAAGCCTGAAGTATTTTTTACTAGCTGTTATATATTCCACCCATTTCAGTTTTTCTTTACAATATCACCGTTTCTAAGAGAAAGACAGAAATTAGATAACCCAAGTGTTGTTTTTTTTTTTTTTTGAGTTGGAGTCTCACTCTGTCTCCCAGACTGGAGTGCAGTGGCCGCTCCCAGCCACCGCAGCCTCGCCTGCTGGTCTCCGGCGATCCTTCTGGCTCAGCCTTTGGAGTAGCCGGAATTACAGGCATGTGCTACCACGCCTGGCTGATTTTTTGATTTTATTGTAGAGATGAGGTCTCGCCTGCCCAGGCGGGTCTCAAACCCACGGGCTCAAGCAATCCACTCACCTCAGCCTCCCAAAGGCACGGGATTACAGGCTGAGCCACCGAGCCCGGCTACCCAAGTATATTTTTAATTTTTGGTTTTTCAGTCATCCTGAACATCTTCATTGTCAGGTGTTGTAAATTAGGGAACTTAACTATACTTCCTCACTTGTTCTCAGGAAGTTGCTTGGGCTACAAGACAATAGCCAAGTGGTGTCTGTGGAAGGGAATTCTTTTGTTGCCTTACAACAGCAAACCCAGTCCCTCATTGCTAGTTGCACTTCAGTTAAAGCATATTGGGGTTTTCATTTGAAACTCCCAGGCATTCCAAGCATAGAGAAAATTGAACTTCAGCAGTTATCAGCATTTTACCAGTTTTTAATAGGTTTCTTCCCTTTATTTTTCTCCCCTGGAGTAACTTAAAGCCAATTCTAAACATCATATTCTCTCATCACATGTTCCCATGTGAATCACTAATCCATAAAACTTCTGAAAAATATAATCACAATGCTGTTTATCACACCTAGCAAAATTAACAATAATTAATGAGATTAACAGTATCTTTAAAATTTCTGACAGAGAGCATCAGTTATAGTTTTGGTCTGTCAGAACAACAGAACAGTATAGAACAATGGATATTCTTGGCATAGAAAAGTTGATTATTAAACAGTACATATATTATTATCTTATTTTTGTTAAGTGCTATCATGGATATCTATATTTGTTTACATGACATAATATCCCCATAAGTCAAGAGTAGTATGTGCAGTGTCCTACCAGGAATTATCTCTGAGAGGTTGAAATTACTTGCATTTTGCCATTTTTCCAGAAAGAGTTTTGTATTTGGTTATTTGTGCTTTGTTGTTATTTCCTCATTTGCTGTGTAGTCATTTTGTATTTGTTGGCAAGTTTGTTTTGAGATAATTCCTTTTTTTAAAAAAAATTTTTGCTTCCCGGTCATTGCTTGCCCCTTGTAGGGCAGTTTTGCTTTTGACTCGCACCTGAATTCACACCGCAGAAACAAATCTCACATAGTTAGAAGGTGGGGGCACTTTGTGTCGTGAGGAAATGGAGTTCCATTCTGCAGAAATGCTCAGGGCGTGATTCCCATTGCCTAGGTTTCTGTGATATGTATCTGTGTTCTGGGCAGTGCTTTATTCCTAGGTACAATTCTGAATTGGCTGTCAAAGTATTTTATCAGCACTTGATACGTGGATAGGTCCCCAGTTGTCGCCCCCAGAGAGCTTGGCTATTGTCTCCTTCCATATTATTTCAAGAAGGCAGATTCCTGTCTCCTGCTCCCTGTTAATGATCACAGTACCCTTGGTATCTCCTGTCTTTAGTCACTGCCCTCCACTATGGGTTTTGTTTCTCATCAGTTGATGGGCAGATGAATTGTTTCCATGTGAATTTTATGAACAACTTAGGATGGTTGTTTTCAGTTGTTTTCTGTTTGTATGTGTTTGGAGCAGAGGAAAAAAGTGATTACATATACCCTCTTATCTGACTGGGAAGTCTCTGGATTACTTGTGTAGTTTGATGTAAATGGACAGAGAACTACAGTGTTGAATATATAGTATGTTCCAGATAATATTTATGAACGTAACAGATATGGAGTAGTATTTAAAACAATTGATTTTATATGATGTGGAGTCTTGAATATTTAAAGATTTGCATGGTCACATAAACATACTGTTTTTCCTATTTTGCAGCAAATGGCCCTCGAAATGCTGCCCTTGTGTAAGAGACAAGGAAAAGATTTTCATAGTGACTTCATACTTTTGCCATGAACAGTAGATAAATATTTTGTGGGACAAGCTATTTGGAATTAAAAAACAACGCCTCATTTTGTCATAGTAACTGTCTAAGATTTAAAAAGAGTTATTTCTTCTTACCAAGTATATCACTGTTTTTCACAAGAGTCATTGTAGCCAGATGGAGAGTTAACAAGGACAGTAGCTCCCCCCACCCGTGTTTTTGTTTTCTCTGTGGTTTCAGGCACTTACAGTCAACTGCAGTCCAAAAATATGAAATGAAATATTTCAGAAATACAAGTTTTAAAACGTACGCTGTTCTGAGGAGCATGATGAACTTCTGATCCATCCTGCTTGGATGTGAATCCCTTTTTCTAGCATAGCCCTGCTGTCTACACTAACCACCTCTTAGTAATTGAGTCTTAGTTATCAGAATGACTGTTACTTTATTGCAGTGCTTGTTGTGTTTGAGTAACTTTTGTTTTGCTTAATGTGTGTCCCCAAAGTGCAAGAGTAATTGTGCTAGGATATTGTTATAATTGTTATATTTTACTGTTTCTCATCCTCTTTTTTTTTTTTTTTTTTTGAGTTGGGGTCTCTCTGTCGCCCAGGCTGGAGTTCAGTGGCACGCTCACAGACACTGCAACCTCGACCTGCTGGGCTAAGATGATTCTTCCACTTCAGCCTTCCAAGTAGCTGGAACTACAGGCGTGCACTACCATGCCTGGCTTATTTTTTGATTTCTTGTGGAGGCGAGGTCTCACCGAGTTGCCCAGGCTGGTCTCCGTGTTGCTCATCTTTCACTGTGCCTAATTTACAAATTAAACTTCATCATAAGTATGTGTGTATAGGAGAAAACAGTATGTGTAGAGTTCAGTACTATCCAGGTTTCAGGCATCCACTGGGGGGTCTTAGAATATATTCCCCATGGATAGGGGGTGACTGGTGTATACCTTAAATTCTAGTCATTGACAGTTTCTTCATTTGCTAACTTTTGGGGGCAGCAGTAACTACAGGATATGTAGATTGCTATTTAGGTTGCCAGATTCTCGCTGTAGATGGTATTACTGGGATAAATTGTACACAGATAACATGAACCCCTGGAAGGAGGGCCCATGCGTTGAGAATACACACACACACGCACACACACACACGCACACGCACACACACACCTCCCCCTTCCTCCCTCCCTCTCTGTCTCTGTCTCTCTCTCCTTTTTGATTAAAATGAGAAAAACATAAATGTGGAGAGCCATAATTTAATTTTATAAGCCAAGAAGCTAGAACTGTACCTTGTGTGTCCTTTTTCTTCTGAGATGTTCACTTTTTTCCTGCTTCTCTCATGATGTAGTAGCCATCTCACATTTATGAAATCCGGATGTAATGAATGACATTTTTCAAGCTTTAAATGAAGCAGATATTTGAATTCTCTTTAAGTAGCTTTATGTTTTCAAAAGTAAATAAGATCAGTTTTGTGTTGTGTTGCTTAGCCCTGGGCATTCAGGTTTTTAACAGCTTTATTGAGATATAATTCACATGCTATGCAAGTCATCCATTTAAAGTATACAACTCAGTAATTTCCAGTATGTTCACAGCATTGTGCAATCATCACTACTCTGAATTTTGGAACATTTTCACTACCCCAGAAAGAAGCCCCATATCCTTTTAGCTGTCATTCCCAAACCTCCAATCCCCATAGCCTTAGACATACACTGATCTACTTTCTGTCTCTAGATTTACCTGTTCAGGACTTTTCATATAAATGCTTCTTTCACTAAATATAATGTCCCGAGCCTCATCCATGTAGCATTTAGCAGTATTTCATTCCTTTTTTTGGCTGAATAATACTCCTTACACCGCATTTTATTTATCCATGTATCAGTTGATAGTCATGGATTTCCATTTTGGGGCTATATTATGAAGGATGCAGCTATGAACATTCCTGTACAAGTATTTGTGAGGTTGTATGTTTTCATTTATCTTGGGTATATATCTAAGCATAGAACTACTGAATTCTAAGGTAACTCTGAGCCATGTTTTGAGAAATGGCTAGACTGTTTTCCACGATGATGGATGGCACCATTTTGCATTCTCATTAGCAGGGTGTGAGGATTCCCGTTTTTCTGCATTCTCACCTACATTTGTTATCATCTGTCTATTTTAACCATTCTAGTGTGTGTGAAGTGTAATCATCTCATAGTGGTTTTGATTTGCAAATTTTCCCTGATGATACTGAATTGGGTTAGTTTTTGAACAAATACATTTTAGGGGAAAAGTGGACAAGGGATGCTTCAAATCTAAATCACAGGTGATCTAGGCCAAAGGGTTTTATGAACTCCAGTTAAGTTTATTCTCAATGACTGCATATTGTGATTCCTAGATTGTGATTCTCTGTGTCCAATAATTTAGCATGTCCTCAATGCAGTCTTATGTTCAAGTGTCCAGAACACCAGTAATAGCATTTCTTTTGATGGATTGCTATTTCCTGTATTAATTCAAACTGATAAAATATTGCAGTTAAATTTTGTCCAAGAAATATGTCAAAATTTGACTCCTGGTTGTGAAGGACAGTATCCTCAAGATGTTGACAGTGATCTTTATGACACATTCACCTTGTTAAATAATAGATCTGTAGGCCAGGCACAGTGGCTCACGCCTACAGGCTAGCACTTTGTGAGGCTGAGACAGGCAAATCTCTTGAGACCAGGAGTTTAAGACCAGTCCGGGCAGCATAGCAAGACCTTGTCTTTACAAAAAAAGAAAAAAAATTAATGTAATTGGGCATGATGGTACACACCTGTACTCTCAACTACTCAGGAGGCAGAAGCAGGAAGATTGCTTCAGCTCAGGAATTCAAGGTTGCAGTGAGCTATGACTGCACCACTACATCCAGTCTTGTCAACAGAGCGAGATCCTGTCTGAAAAAGATAGGTTGTAACAAATGTGTAGAGTAACCCCAGGAAACATGGTTAAATAAATTAAAACAGAAATTGCTCAGGAATGGTGATCAGAAACATTTTTTTTTTTTTTTATCGGAGCCAAAAGTAATATTTAAAGCCTTTGGTTATTTTGAATTACCTTTATTAACAAAATTTAGTCATATTTTGGAAGGAAAACAGTAGTATTTCAATGATAGCTTTATTTTTACCCTCCAATTTAATAGATGAAATCTATGGTATCAGTTATCAATGGATTAGTAATGGTGTGAAGTCAGGGGCAACCCAGGTCTCAGTAGTGTAGCCTAACTAGATACTTTTAAGTCCTCTGGCTTGGGTGCTATACTTACGTCTATAAACTGTGAAAGGAAGGTTTGCTGAGGTGCCTAATGAACCATTTTTACTACCTCTGCAGATGTAAGTAATAAAGTTTCATCTTTGTGACTATCTTAATACGTGCTGGTGGCATTAGCACAGGTTCAGGCTGAAACACCACTAACTGCAGTTATTAACAACACAGCATAGAGAGCCTATGTGTGGCAATTACTTGGTTATTTTGAAACATGACTCATGGAGGGGGTGGGGGAATGTCAATATTGAAAGCATATTTGAGCCTTGGAGATTTATAAGCAAGTTTTGTTCCCTACTTCCAGATAATAAGATTACATATGTATCATAGTACTTGGTTAGTGGAGGTTGGGAAAAAAGTGGTTGTAGAGACCTAAATGTAAAACACAAATGTATAAAACTCCTCCTATAAGATAACATAAGAGAAAACCTAGATGGCATTGGTGATAACGTTTTAGCTACTGCATCGAGGGCATGAACAATCGATAGGCTGGACTTCACTGAAATTTTAAAAAATTTATCTATGAAAGACAGTGTAAAGAGAATGAAAAGACAAGCCACAAACTGGGAGACAATATTTGCAAAAAATATATCTGGTAAAACACTGTCACTCAAAATATCCAAAGAACTCTTAAAACTCAACAATAAGAAAATGAACAACCTGATTTAAAAACGGGCAAAAGATATGAACTGAAGAAGATACACAGACAGCAAGCAAGCATTTGAAAAGATGTTCATCGTACGTCATTAGGAAATTGCAAGTTAAAACTGGAGTGAGAACACCGCACACCTGTGAGAATGGCCAAAGTCTGAAATACTGATAACACCAAATTCTACCGGAGAGAATGTGGAGCAGCAGGAATTCTCGCTGGTTGGGGCAGAACTGCAAATGGATGCGTCTGTTTTAGCAGATAGTCTGGCGCTTTCTTGCAAAGCTAAACATTCCATTTCATTTAGCCATCACATTCTTTGGTATTTACTCAAATGAATTGGAAACTTACGTCCACACGGAACACTTGCGCACAGATGTTTATAGCAGCTTTATTTGTAGTTGCTAAATCTTGAAGCAACCAGGATGTCCTTCAGTAGGTGAATAAGAGACTGTGATACATCAGATGATGGAGTATTATTCAGCACTAGAAAGAAATGAGCTATCAGGTCACAAAAAGACATGAAGGAAACTGCATGTTCCTAAGTGAAAGGAGCAAAACGGAAAAGGCTAGGTACTGTATGATGCATCATCTACATCCCCTCCCGGCAAAGGCAAAACTATGAGTACGGTAAGAAGATGAATGGTTGCCAGGGGCCGGTGGGGAGGGGGGAGTATTTTTAGGGCAATGAGAGCACTCCATAGACTGCCGTTGTGAATGTGTGTCATCATGCGTTTGTCCAGACGTGTAGAATGCACAACACCAAGAGTGAACCCTCATGTAAACTGTATTGGGTGATGGTGTTTCAGTGTCAATTCATCAGCTGTAACAAATGTGCCAGTGTGGTGGGAAGTTGTATGTGTAGGGTCAGGGACTCTGAATTTTCTGCTCAATTCTGCCATGATTTTAAAACTGCTCTAAAAATTGAATTTCATTAATTGTTTTTTTTAAAGTGGTTATAGAGCTCTTTACCTTTTCAAATGCTTGAGTCCTGCTTTGTTCTGTGCTTAAATAATGCCTTGCAAAGGTTACAGCCCATGGAAAAGTTCAGAATCTAATGGCCTCTTGGGAGGTTGGAGAAAGCAGTGGTTTCTGTTTTGGGTATTGTTTCTGATTTCTAGAGTCTGACTGCACCATGTGTTCCTTACTGAAGGAAGTCCTTTAAAACTTAATAGCTGGCCAGACCATGCATACATATGCATTCGACAAAATCGTATCTCTTCCACAAATACGTAGTTTAAGTTTTGTTCTTCATTAGTGCTAACTGGGAAAGACTTTTTTGAGGAGACAGGCACTGAGCAGAGAAATAAGTAAATAGAAATGTGGTTGGCTATTTGGAGAGAGTATAGTATTATGTTTATGGATCGTATAAATACCGTGGCTGAAGTCAATCAGAATTTTTTCAAGCATCTAAAAATATATGGTTTAATTTCCAAAACTATTGTTTATCAAGTAATAAATTATGCATCCTGATTTATTTTAAAAGACTACTATGCTTGCTCATATTGGGTTATTTACATGCCAGAAGACTTTTTTTTTTTTTAATTTAAGAGACAGGGTCTCACTCTGTCATCCAGGCTGGAGTTCAGTGTGACAACCATAGCTCACTGCATCCTTGAGTTCCAGGCTTCAGCAATCTTCTTGCCTCAGCCTCTCAGGTAGTGAGGACTATAGGTGCGTGCCACCATGCCTTAACTGATTTTTTGCATTTTTTGTAGAGATGAGGTCTTGCTATGTTGCCCAGACTGATCTCAAACTGTCATGTCTGGCCCACATTTTTAAAAAATTCAGTTTACTTTTTCAGTGGAATCATAGTCGTCACATGGTTCAGAAATTAGAGTGTTTAAAAAAAAAGTTGACATTGAGCAGCCTTGTTTCTGCCCTGTCCTTGGCCTCCTTTCTACAGCTTCTGTGTCATCTTCCAACACTTTTTAAAGATGCAAATATAAGTAGATGCGTTATGCTAGGAAGATTTTTTCCCCTGAAAAGAAGTGATGAGATTTATTGTCTGTGATTTGTTGCTTATTGAAACAACATTCCAGGACTTTTAGGAGGATGAGGAAAAATGTGGCAGCTCTTTCCTTGCTCGGCCAGGTAGCTGACACTGGCGTTGCTTATCAACTCCTCCTTCGCTCACCCTGAAAGGCAAACAGCGACAGGGGAGGCCCAAACCGACTTCACAACAATCCTGGGGAAGTGTCACGCGTGGCATTCCCATCTTGAGGATAAGAAAATTGAGGTTCCAGAGAGGTTAAGAAACTTAGCTCACAGAATCAGCAGATATCAGTGATGGGATTCAACACTAGGCTTTCTTTCCTCTTAAAATTCTGAACATTGTCAAGCATGTAGAAAAGTGGAGAGACGCCAAGTTTAGTAAAATCACGTACACCCATCACCCAGCTTAAATAGTTAACGTTTTATATTTGTTTGATCTGTCATTTTTTTCTTTGTTTCTTGGGCATTTTAAAACGAGTCCTATGTGTTATCTTACACCTATGTACTGAAGTATGCCTCTCTAAAAAAGGTAGTTGTTTTTCACGATAGTGACAGTGCCATCTGTTAACCTTCTCCAAATGGCAAGAATGATAAAGAGTGGTAAGAAAAGAAGGTGGTCAGCTGACTAAAACTACCAACGCGAGCAGTTTGGTTATGAAAAGTCAGGGAGACTCTCACTGTTTGTCGCACACCGAGGGTGGCTACAAGGGCAGCAGCAGCTGACCCACGCTGAGCTGAGGGGTCCAGAGGCATGCGGTAGGCAAAGCCTTCGTGGCGCCGAAACCTGCCTCTTGGGGAGCGCAAGCCCCCTCTGCCCACTAGCTTTATACCAGTTACGATCGATGAGTGACAATTTTAATGACTTCTTCTCGTGCGAGAGGTGGTTTGAAGCCAGGAGTTGTGAACGAAGGGTGTGTACGTTCTGGCTGTAGAAGTCTTTCCCGATGGACTCCTGACACGAAACGCAAACTTCTTTTAAAGGTCTTTGACTTGCGCCAGTGTCATCGGCAGATGCAGCAGCAGGCCGCCACGGCACAAGCTGCAGCCGCCGCCCAAGCAGCAGCCGTGGCAGGAAACATCCCTGGTCCGGGATCAGTAGGTGGCATTGCCCCAGCCATCAGTAAGTATGCTTTGGGTGGTGGTGGTTTTAGGTGTGTTAGTTCACTTGGTGCCTTGCTTTACTCGGCTGGTTACTGTGAGCAGTAGTAGCAATTAAGACTGTTTTGACGGGGATGGTATTCCGAATTGATAAAAGCTGTTCTTCTTAGCGGTTGCCCTTTGCCTCGGACCCTGTTTGTATTATTTTTGTATCCAAAAGGGAGTAGGGGATAAAGGAGAAAGGGGTTATTATTACACTACGTTGTTCCATCTCCCCCTCCCCCCCTTTTTTGTTGATGCAATATTACTGTGACTCCTCCTCACCAGCCAGGGTGGGTTGTAATCACTAAAGTGCTTGGCTTTATTTTAGTAAGGAAAGCATATTTCAGTTTCAGAATTGGACACCTCTCCAGTTTTTTTAAAGTATGCTAAGCATGGAGAGAAAACTAAGTGAGGGTGGCATTTTGATAACTTGTAGACTTTTTTTTAATTTTAGGGTAAAATTGAACTGTGTGCCAGGTTTCACACTGATGGGGAATTTTTTACTGCAGAGTTAAACTCCTGACTATAGACTTTTATGATGGAAACACGTGGCACCCATCTTCCACGTCCGAAGGCATATCTAGTGATTCATTCAACCCCTGTTCTTAACCTCTTCAGTGTGGTAAGCAAATCACACTGGCTAAGAAAACTGCAGTGGCCCTGCAGGTTTCTCTACAGTACATGCAAATTACTCCCATTAGTTTCACTGTAATATTGATGAATGCAGATTGACTATATGACTGTATGTTCTGACTGGAAAATTAGATGCAGAGTCTCCATTGTGATTTATGTTCAGGAGTTTACAATTTAGAATTAGATAGGGCATATTTAGAATATTTGATCTTTAAAAATTTGGACATCTGAACCATTAACTTGCTAGCTCTGATGTTATAAACGTACTTTTACTAAAGAATCCAGAACTACTATTAAATTTCGTATTCCATCTATTACCCCCGTTGAGTAATTGTGTATTGTTTCTGTCAGAACTGAGAGACAGACAACATCTGGGTCATCCACGAAGCCTTAGTGGAACCGGCAGTGTTAACTGTCTCTTGGCTAGTGAAGTCTTACTCTGAACTAGGCTGTTTAGACAGGTGTAGGAAGGTTCTTGGAACCAGCCGTGGACACGCCCTGCCTCTCAGGCGCAAGTTGTTTCGTATCCCTTCATCTCCTCTTCCAAAGAGAAAAATAGATGGAGTGTTGGTGGAGTGTGCTGATTTATAGTTGGTTGTGGCTGGAAGACACTTGTGGAATACAAACTGCCTTAACCAGAAGTTTTCAGTCCTGCTGATAAAGTTTAGACCTACAGTTACTTCTTGGCATTTTGACAGAAAGGAGAATGAAATACAGAAAGCTGACCAGCTTTGTTAAGGAATTTAGGGAGGACGAAAAGTGATCACCCTGTCCCTCTGACGTTTTCCGAATCTTTCCTGTTAGGTCTGTCAGCGGCTGCAGGAATCGGTGTTGATGACCTTCGTCGCTTATGCATACTCAGGATGAGTTTTGTGAAAGGCTGGGGGCCAGATTACCCAAGACAGAGCATCAAAGAAACGCCTTGCTGGATTGAGATTCACCTACACCGTGCCCTCCAGCTCTTAGATGAAGTGCTTCACACCATGCCGATTGCAGACCCACAGCCTTTAGACTGAGGTCTTTACCCCTGGGGCCCTTAACAGTATCAGGATGGTGGACTATGAAATATAATCCTGTTTCTTATCCGAAGACATATTTCACTTTGGTTCTGCTTTATCTTTTCATAAAGGGTGAAAAGTATGTTTGCTGCCTTGCTCCTAGCAGACAGAAACTGGATTAAAACTTTTTCTCCTATTTAGAACTTTGCAGGCATGGCTCAGAGCTTGAAGATGAGGAAAGACACATTCTTATTAAATCTTCACCAATTATGTATAAAGGAATCATTCCAATGCTGGAAAACTTAGCCCTTTAATATGTCTTAGAGCCTTTTATATGCAGAACATCAGTATGTGTGTTGTTCTACAGAATAAATCCAATATTGCTGATTTTAGAGGCAGAGAAGTTCTCAAAGTTAATTCACCTATGTTATTTTCTGTGCAAGTTGTTACTGTTAACATACCTTACTCCAAAAATATTGTGCCATGTGGGTGAGTTAATTTTACCAAGAGCAACTTTACTCTGTGTTTAAAAAATAAGATAGTAAGGTATTATATAACCTTTCATCCGAGTACTTTTTGAAAGTTAAACTAGTGAGGATAATTTCATTTCAGATTGTCTTACAACTTAAGTTTTACTTTTGCCAAGGCAAAAAACACTAATTTGTGTGTATATCGAGAAGTCCTTAAAATTACCAGACAAAGAAATGTCATTTAAAATTACATTTGTTATCCCTAATGGATGACTGTTTATCAAGAAGTATACTTTTACCCTGTTAAACTTTTGCTCTATTCTTCTTTGTTTCTAGGCACAAGGTTGGGTCGCTAAGAAGCCTAGAAGAGGAATTTCTTTTCCTTCATTAATTCATAGGCAAAGGTTTTGTATTTTTTAAAACACTAAAAGCAGTGTCACTCTACCTAATATTTCACTGTTCCGCAAAGGTGGCAATGCTTAAACTAAATAATGGATATTTTGGAGACGGCTAAATCCTATGTTGAATACTGCGCAGAATAGTGGCGACATTACAGTTCATGATAGGTAGTTTGGATATTTTTGTACTTGATTTGATGTGTGACTTTTTTTCGTATAATGTTTAAATCATGTATGTTATGACATTGTTCAAAATTCAGTTTTTGTATCTTGGGGCAAGACTGCAAACTTTTTTATAACTTTTGGTTATTCTAAGCCCTTTGCCATCAATGATCATATCAATTGGCAGTGACTTTGTATAGAGAATTTAAGTAGAAAAGTTGCAGATGTATTGACTGTACCACAGACACAATATGTATGCTTTTTACCTAGCTAGTAGCATAAATAAAAACTGAATCTCAACATACAAAGTTGAATTCTAGGTTTGATTTTTAAGATTTTTTTCTTTTGCACTTTTGAGTCCGATCTCAGTGGTGAGGCACCTTCTACTAAATGACAGGCAACAGCCAGTTCTATTGGGCAGCTTTGGTTTTTTTCCTCTCCGACGCTCTAACAGGACTTTCCCTGGACATTTTGTATCATGTGTAGAGTTGGTTATTTTTTGAGTTTTTATTTTACGGTAGCAAAAATAGGTCTGATTGTCTCTAAGATGATAAATAGAATGTCTGCAGGGCAAATAGTGCGAAATAAAATCAAGAATCATCGTTCAGATTCTTTACTTTTTTTGCTTGGAGGGGTTTTGTAAGCTACAGAAACACTTGTGTGTGATGGTCCTTATGTCACCTGACGTGGACATGTCTTCTGCCTTGCTTTGTCAGAAGGTTTTTAATAAGGTCATCCTAGAAACCACTGAGCTTGCTTATTGCTGTGATTTAAACGTAGGTCTTGATCTAAGCGACATGTCTTTTTTTTTTGAATAGCTTCTCTACCAACTCGCTTGTACTCTTGAGTACTTGCAGGTACTTTTGGTAACGACCTAATTTTCTCCTGTAAAAGTTTGGCGGTTGAAGCTTTATTGGCAGATTTATAAAACTACATCTTCTCTAGAAATTGTGACTCTTTAGGTCCATTTTACTGTGAATGAGGAACAGGAGTGAGAGAACTTTAGAACGGCAGACTCTAAAACTCCAGATGCTTTGATTAAAATCTTAATCATGCATTGATATGATCCACTGCCTCCTTTTCTGCTTTAAGGAAGGCTTTCATGTTTAGCCATCAGGGAAAAGTATATGGAAAATATGTGCTAAGAAGTGTCTCTTCGGAACCAAGCCACCTGTCTTGATTTCATTCTAAGAGCCATAAAATATAGAACTACTTCTAGTTATTAAGTGCTTACATTTTAACCTAGTTTTACTCATGTGGTTTTGAGAAAACGCCTAGCTAGTGTGTTATGATCAGTTATTCCTGAGAGCTTGATTGTTTAATCTGTGTTTCTGTTTCTTAGAGATGGTCACCTTTGATGGGTAAGAGTCTTACTAGGTTTAAAATCTTATGTCTGCTTTAAGGATAAAATAGTTTCTGCAGTTCTCTGATCTGGTCATTATGAGGATATGGTTCTGGGTGGGTTTTCTCTAGTGGGTTCATATCTCAGAGACTCCCAAAACACTGGGCTTCAGTGAAAGCTGAATGAGAAGCGAACGGCAGGCATCCGGTGTGAGCCCCCACCCCGCTTCTGTCCCGTGCCTTCTAGTGCATTCTCAAGGGAGCCCTTCATGGTGCTGCCTTTATTTTCCAGGGAGTAGATTCTCTGGCGGAATACAGTCCATCTAGCTGTTTGGGGTCTACTGCCCCTGGTGTACACACATCACGTAACAAATCACTGCCACACAACCTTGCATTCTCCAGAAACACGGCTCCTTTGTAGTGCGGTAACCGCTCAGTCTCCTATCCCATTCCCGTTCCTCCTGTGAGCCTACAGGTTTGCCGGTGGTGTGGTCTGGCTTAAATAACCACACTTGAAACATTCAAGTAAACGGAACCTGTATTACCTATGCTGTATTTCAGACTTAAATCCGTTTTTGTGGGAAAGGGTTTGTTGTATAAAGAGGGGGGTGTTTGTAATACACGTTTTGAAGGCAAAATAAAATGTCCTGTCTTCCACATGATAAATAATCTTATTACTGTAGAAGCTTATTGCTGATTGAGTTGCAGATATCTTTGATTGTGGCCATCTGGGGAAGGACAATTTTACATTTTACCATAATGTTCCTTAAGTATCTATGCAGGTTAAGAAATAAAATGTTAAATGTTTCTGTGCCCGTTTGGCAGTAACTGGTTAATAGTTACTAATCACCCTATGCAAAATCAGATTAGTTCAGATTCTTTTTGAGAGCCTTTTGGGAGGAGCAGTTTTATTCTCTGAGTAAGTCACTTCTTTTTGTCAACAGTTTGCTCTCTTCATCATTGCCATTTTTATTGGCATCTTAAAGATAGATGAGAAAAATGGCAAATTTAATGCATTGAAATAAATCAGTATATAAAATCAATTACCTGTGAAGTCAGTTAACAACACTTTTGTAGGTGGGGTACATTCCACTTGAAGAAATGCTTTTTTTCCCCTAAAGGCAAAGCCCATTTTGTTGCAGACAGTTATCTGTAAATAATCTCCTAAAGCATCCTTTGCAAAGATTATTGAGATAGGCTGTGAGAATCTTGTGCAAGCCTTTCCATTTTTCCCCCTGAAAAACAGGTAATTTATTTTTGTTTTAATGTACTGAGAAGGATATAAAAAGTCAGTGGCCTTATCCATTAAAAAGGCAGTGTCCTAGGTCCAGCCTTACTCCTAGCATGTGTCCCAGTGCAGCTTGATTGTTTGTCGTCTTTAGCTGGTATCACAGTGGATTGACATTTTTCGCTCCAAACTTGCCTTATTTAAGCAGTAAACTTTTTTATTTTAGCCATTTTTAGGTGAAATTATTTCCATATGTTTATCAGAGAACATACTAGATGTAACATTTCTTTTTGTCCTCAGTTATCTTTGTGGACTCCAGGGGCTTCAAAGACAGGTGGAACTGTTTTGCCTTTACTAAAGGATCTCAGATTGCTATGGTTTTTAGGGTTGTTTTTGTTTTTTTTAAAGCCTCCATCTGCCCTCCTGGTCTTCTCCCTTTCTGAGAGGGGCTTCTTCGTATGTGGTTGTTAGCATGCCTGCCCTTAGTGTTTTCTTCTTTCCTTTCTGATTCATCGTTTCTACTGCTTAGGCAAGGAAACCAGATAACCAAACTTACCAGAACTTCCTTTAAGACGCAAGTACAAACTCTGGGACAGGACCCGAGACACTTTTCTGAAAAGTGCTGGAAAGGACTTCACTGCGTTGACATGTGACATGGGCTCCACTGCTCAGACTGCTTCCTGACTTTCGCTGAGTTTCAGGCAGTGGAGGCAGAGAGAAGTGAGTCACACTTTTATTTTCCCCCTTAGGTAATATTTTGAAAGGTTTCATCGCTTCCCTGCGAATGCTGCTCATACAAGATTTGGGGTTGCCAAGGGTTACTGAATTAGCATCCATAGCCAGAGGCCATACCTTTGCCTAGAGGACACCAGCAAACAGACAGACAACACCCGACACAACAAGCCGAACCTTGGGAAACCAGAGGGTCATAGGGTTTTTGGTGTCCCCTTTTAAGCCTTGCCTTCTGGACTTCCTCCTGTACAGGTATTTTTGACCTATAGGTGCCTTTATGAGAATCGAGGGTCTGACATCCTGCCCCAAGGAGTAGCTAAATTAGTTGCTGATGTTTTCAGGGACTTTAACATCAGACAGACTTGAATGAATGAATGAAGCTTTCTTCCCTTTTTTAATGTGGGAAGGACTGAGGAGAAAACTGTGGTGAAGACAATCATTTCTCTCTGTTGATGTGGATACTTTTCACACCACTTATTTAGAACGCTCAGTAGAGTCAGAGCCAGTGTTCCTGTTCAGCCTGAAACTAATTGCTCTAGGCTGGGCCAGACAGTTGCACTCTCATTTGCGCTCTGCCCTTAGCTTGATGTGTGACCTTGGGCAAGTCCTTGACCTTCTCTGGGCCTTGGTTGCCTTGTCTGTAGAGTGAGGGAGTTGGACTAGTTACTCCAGCTCTGAAATTCTAAGTGACCTTGCCTACCTTGCAGCAGTTTTGGATTTCTTCCTTGTCTTTGTTCTGCTGTTTAAGGGGGCTTTTTGCTTATTTCCATGTTATTCAAATGAGACTAGGCTTGATATTTTATTACTGTTTGCCTATGGACAAGAAGTTACATAGTATGTTCTTGACTTAATTTTAACCAAAAGCCTAGTACTGCTTTACAAAAAAAAAAAGAAAGAAAAAGAAAAAAAAAAAGAACAAAACTGAGGAGAGGAAAACCCTTCATTCTGTTTTTCTGTCACCTCTGGTCAAAGTTTGTTAAGGCTTTCTTTGAGTCATGACATTCTAGCTTTCGAGTTGGTATGGGTGTAACACCATCTTCTTAAGTGCTGTGTAATGGCAATTTTTCTTTTTAAACTAAAATGAATTGTAAATTGCTCATGCCTGGTGATATTAGAGATTATTATTTGGGGTCTTTGGTTTATTAACTCTTCTGTGCTTCCCCTGAGCCACATCAGTTAAAGTGGTTTATATGACTGAAGAAAACAATACCAGTAGATGATTCTTCACTTTATTCTTGGCTCTTTTCTGGTACATTTTGATTAGATGACCTTTGGCTGGATCACTCTTTTCAGAGTTCTCTTCCAGCCTACCCTTGAATGGGATGAGTGTAATTAATGCACTTGAACTTTTCAAGGACCTGGGGAGCCATCCTTGGGGCTGGAGAGGGGAGTCCTGGTAGAGGCCAGTTTTTTGGTCTCTGGATGAAGGGATGAAACCAGCTGCTGTTGTGAAGGCTGCTTGTCACTGACAGAAGGACTTGGGCTTGGATTGATGAACAGACCGAACATAGAGTTGGCCGACTTTCTTCAGGCACTGATCCTGTTCAACGCATGGGACATGTAATCTAGGGGGAAAGTATGAATGCTTGTAGAGGGTGAAAACCTGGTGGGCTGCAGAATGCAGTTTAGTGGCAGGGGGTTGGGCAAAAACTTGAGGTGGCATTTCCCAGCTCTGTGTCTTCCTCGAAATTCAGAAGAATGCAGCTATGCCAAACCCAGAGAAGAGCCACTCGTAGCTTCTGCTTTTGGGACAACTGGTCAGCTGAAACTCCAGAAGTTCCTCTGTGGCTTTCTGTATGCTTTTGCCTGGTTGAAGTCTGTGGCTAAAAAATAGTTGAACCTTTCTTGAGAACTCTGTAACAAGTATGTTTTTGATTAAAAGAGAAAGCCAACTAAATCATTATGTGCTCATTCTTTTTCTTAAGCTCGTGAATGTCTTGGATCTGGAAAGAGTTCACTCAGAGAATCCTCAAACTTGAGGCCAGTGCCTGCCGTTATTGTTTTATGCGGCTGAAATGGGAAACACGACATTTTAAATGTGACGCTAAAATAACAGTCCCAGCTCCGTCCTCATTCTTGAAAGGACTGAGTGTCGTGATGGTGACTGAGAAGAGGTGGGTACGAGGGGGGTGAAGAACCAGGAGGCCTAAGAAAGAGGCAGCAGCTGGACACTAATGACCCTGCCATGGCCACGTGAGGCTCCAGAGGCTGCCTCCCTCCCGCCGGCCTCCCCTGTGCAACGGGGGTCAGCGCGGGGAGGCGACTCCAGAAGCGGCTGGTGCCCCGCATGTCCACGTCAACATCCTTTCTTGTCTTGCTGGCCCTGGGTTTCGGAGATGCTTGTCCTGCCAAGGGACCTTTTTTCTCACCCGCTTGCCAGCCTAGAATTAATTAATACTATCTTAGCCCACAGCATGAAGAGGATAGCAGACTGGCATCCGAGGATGAGAAAAAGTATCCCTTTGTGGAGCCCCTCGGAGAAAGTGCAGGGGCGTGGGTCTCTCCCTCCCTGCTCTCCGCTCCCGACCCTCGGTCCTTTGGGCTTGATCCCATCTTCGCCCTCGTCACGACTTTCCCACAGATGGCCGTCTTGAGAACGGGCGCACGTCCAGCCCTCCTTCACACCTTGCCCCCCTGTGGTCTCGCTAGTAACGGCAGTGCCCTTTCCCCTCTCCTTTCCCTGCCCTTCCCCCTCGGCCCTGAAAGAGAAACGCAGGCCCTGAAAGAGAAACGCAGCCATCACTTCTGGCCTTACTGATGCTGATGTAGTCCTGCTGGGCCACTACCGGTGAACTTTTCTGCAGCAGACCTGCCCTAAGACAATGGCTCAAGGAAGTTCTCTGAATAGAAAGGAAATTATGAAAGAAAGAAAATGGGAACATCCGGAAGGGAGAGAAAAAAATATGGGTAAGGAGGCTTTTCTTTCTGAGGCGTCTCATTTTCCTTTTGACTTGGGGCTTCGGTTTGTTGCCCAGGCGGGAGTGCAGTGATGCCGTCAGGGCTCACCACAGCCACAACCTTCCTGGCCCACATGACCCTCCCACCTTATCCTCCCAAGTAGCTGGGACTACAGACATGCACCACCATACCCGGCTAATGATTTTTTGCAGAGAGAAGGTCTCACTGTGTTGTCTAGGCTGGTCTTGAGCTCCTAGGCTCAAGCAGTTCTCCTACCTCGGCCTTCTGAAGTGCTGGGATTACAGGTATGAATCACTGCACCTGGCCTGAATTTTCTAAATGACAGAGGAAACCCACAAAAACCCAGAATTTATTTATTAAAAATTGTGTATTCTCAGGTGTTGAAATTTCAGTCATCTTCAAAGTACTCTCTGATGCAGTGTACCTATTGAGACTTTTTCTACTGCTCAAAGCAGATTTTGTGTTTTTTGGATTTTCTTTTTGAGTTTGAGTCTTACTCTGCCGCCCAGGCTGGAGTGCAGTGGCACGCTCATGGCCACCTCAGCCTCGACCTGTTGGGCTCAGCTACCTTCCAAGTAGCTGGAACTACAGACATGAGCTACCGCGGTTGGCTAATTTTTTGATTTATTGCAGAGACAAGGTCTCACCAAGTTGCCCAGGCTGGTTTTGAACCCCTGGTCTCAGGCAGTCCTCTCACCTTGGCCTTCCAAAGTGCTGGGATTACTTGCGCCACCACACCTGGCCTAAAACAGATTTTGAATTCGTCAACTTTGATGCCTTTTAGTACTTCTGCCATTTGTGTTTCACCTCTTCCACATTGGCAAAATGTTTCCCTTTGAGGATTTTTTTTTGGTCCAGGAAAAAGAAAGACCGGGTAAATAGGGTGGGTGGCACACAGGAGCCATGCTGTTTTTGGCCAAAAACTGTTGCATGCTCAGCAGTGGTGTGGGCAGGTGCACCCATAAACCACCCATCATGAAATGGGCAAGCACATTGAAAGAATCTCCAAAAAAGTTCACTGTCACTGAATGCAGCCTCTCACAACAATGCTAGTTGGGACACTGGTATTAATGGGTTCCCAGCACACTTACCTAGTGAGGGAGGCCTGTACTAGAAGGGTCTGCCCTGCAAAAGGTTATTCTGGGTGTTTTGGAGGGTCCCCCTTGCATTTTTGATAATTGAAGGAAAAATTATAACACTGCCTGAAGTGATTTTAAATGTATATGGAGGGAATATCTAAAACAATTATAAATAGAGGGGAGATCCTTTAGGGACTAATAGAAATGTAAATTTTCTACATTTCACCCAGACTGGTAAAATAATAATAGATGGCAGTAGATTCCAGATTTATAATGAAATGCCTAGTACAGCTACTATAAAAGCTATACAAAGATACATATACTCAAAGATGCTACAGATAAATCAAAATAGAATTTTAAAAATGTTCAAGTAGCTCAGGTGAAGGCAGAAAAAAAACCCCACAAAAAGCCAGAAAGAGAAAATGTCACATGTATGTGCTAATAAATAATTACATTAAATGTAAATGGTCTAAATATGCCTATTAAAAGACATGCTGACAGAATGGATTAAGAAACATGAACCAGGTTGGGCATGGTCTCTCATGCCTGTAATCTCAACACTTTGGGAGGCCAATGCAGGAGGATTGCTTGAGCCCAGGAGTTCGAGACCAGTGTGGGCAACGTAGCAAGGGCTTGTCTCTACAAAAAAAATAAAATTAGCCAATCATGTTAATATGCACCTGTAGTCCCAGCTGCTCAGGAGACTGAGGTGGAAGGATGACCTAGGCCCAGAAGGTCGAGGCTGCAGCGAGCCATGATGGTGATCATCCCACTGCACTCCAGGCTGGGTGACAGAGTGAGACCCCAACTCCAAAAGTAAGAAAGAAACATGACCCAACTCTGCCGTCTACAAGAGTCTTCAAACAATAATAATGTAGACAGGCTGAAAGAAAAAATGAAGGAAAGCAGTAATGGGCTACATTAATATCACATAATTTAGATTTCAGAACAAAACAGTATTATACATGGATATTATATATAACAATGCAAGGGTCAGCTTATCAAGAGGATATAGGAATCCTAAGTATGTATGTACCAAGCAACAGAGATGCAAACTGTGTGAAGCAAAATGGAAGAATTTAATAGAGGAATCCACAACTACATTTAGAGACTACAATACTCCTTTGTTTAGCAATCAGTAGAACAATTAAACATAAAATTATCAAGAATAGATAAGAACTGAATACCACCATTATCCAATAAGCTCTAATTTACTTTTTTAGGGTAAGTCATCTAATAACAGCAAAACTCTGTAGGCTTTTGAAATGCGAACAACTTATACAAAGATCATGGCATGGGCCATAAAATAAAACTCAACAAATTTAAAAGAATGGGAATCACACAAAGTGTTCTCTGACCACAATTTAATCAAACTAGGAGTCAATAAGAGAGAGATAATAGGAAAATTTCTAAACACTTGGAACTAAACAACACTTGTAAGTAATTCATGGGTCAAAGAGGAAGCCCCAAGAGAAATGAACAAGACCATGAACTGAATGAAAATGAAAATACCAATGTTTGTAGGATACAGCTAAACTGGAGAAAACTATAGCACTAAATGCAAACCTTAGAAAAAAGAAAAGTCTGAAATATTCTAAACTCCCACTTTAAGCACTTCGAAAAAGAAGGGCAAAATAAGCCAGAAGGGGAGAAATAAAGACAGGAGCAGAAATTAAAAAAAAAGCAAGGGCCGGGCTCGGTGGCTCAGCCTGTAATCCCAGCACTCTGGGAGGCCGAGGTGAGTGGATTTCCTGAGCCCGCGGATTTGAGGCCAGTCCGGGCAACTTGCTGAGACCATGTCTCTACAATAAAGAAATAAATTAGCCAGGCATGGCAGCACGTGCCTATAGTTCTGGCTACTTGGAAGGCTGAGGTGGAAGGATCACTGGAGCCCAGCAGATTGAAGCTGGGGTGGCTGTGAGTGTACCACTGCACTCCAGCCTGGATGACAGAGTGAGACTCCAGCTCAAAAAAACAAAAACAACAGAGAACATCAATGAAACAAAGAACTGGTTCATTGGGAAGATTAAAATTGACAATCTTTAGCAAGACTGACAAAGACAAATTATCAGTGTGAGGAATGAAACGAGATCACTACAGACTGAAGACATCAAAGGAATAATAAAGGAATGCTACTAATAACTGCACTTGTAAATTTCACAATTTGATGAAATAGACCAATATCTTGAAAAAAATCTACCGCAACTTAACCAGTATGAAATAGATAATTCGAATAGGGCTGTAGCACTCGAGTAATTTTTTTTGTGAGTCGGATCTCACTCTTGTCACCCAAGCTGGCGTGCAGTGGCACAGTCATGACGTTCACAGCGCACAGTGGCCTCAGCCTCCTGGGCTCAGGTGATCCTTCCACTTCAGTATCCCAAGTAGCTGGGACTACAGGCATGTGCCACCATTCCTGGCTAATTTTTTTTGCTTTTTTTTATTTTTCATTTTGTAGAGACAAGATTTTGACCAGGCTGGTCTCGAACTCTGGGGCCAAGCTGTCCTCCTACCTTGCTTGCAATGTGCTGGGATTACAGGCAAAAGCCACCACACCTAGCCAATTCGTTTTCTTTCTTTTGTCTTTGTTTTAGTCTCTGCTTCCCAGGCTGGAATGCAGTGGCACAATCACAGCTCATTGCAGCCTTGCCCTCCTGGGCTTAGGTAATACTGACTCAGCCACCTGAGTAGCTGGGACTAGAGGTGAGAGCCACTGTGCCTGGCTAATTTTTTAAGTTTTTGTAGAGATGAGATCTCACTATGTTGCCAAGGCTAGTCTCAAACTCCTGGCCCCAAGTGTTCCCCCCAGGGACTGGGATTACAGGTGTGAACCACTGCACTGGCCAGGAACTTAAGATTCATAATTTTAAAATCCCAAGAAGAACTTTCAGGCCCAAGT